AAAAGGGATTCACTATTGGGGAAATTGAGGGAAGAAGAGACTGAACATAAACTGCACCTATGGATGAGGACAATGGGGGGGGGACGGAGGGTGGGGTGGGAACCTGGTGGAGGGGGGAAGAAATGAGGAACCTTTGTAATAATATGAACAATAAAGATTGATTTAAAAAAAAAAATAAATAAATAAAACCTGCTTGGGATCTGGGCAAAAAAAAAAAAAAAAAAAGAAAGAAAAGAAAGAAAGAAAGAAAAGAAAGAAAAGAAAGAAAAGAAAAAGAAAAAGAAAAAGACGTAACCTAACCATACCTCCACTATGCCACCAAATAATCAGGAGAGGAATGCAAATTAACCCAACAAAGGTAGCGGTTAATTTGCATACACAGAGTGATGGGGAAGAGGGGTGGATGCTTGCGTTGTCCTCACCATACCTAGGTGTTCTGCCCCACCCCTGGTCTCTCAGGTCCACTGGGCAGCATGGGAAGGCAGGGCTGGAGCAAAAAGAGGCTGCTCCGGGGCCTGAGCGGAAAAGGGTTGGGCAGAGTGGAAAGGCGATGCCAGTAGCCAGGGAAAGGAAAGTCCATTCTAGCACAAATCTTAGTGCATCGGGCGTCTAGTAATATAATCTTCACTAGAGGCCCGTGCATGAAATTCAGGCACAGGAGGCGGGGGGTCCTCTCAGCCCAGCCTGTGCCATCTCACAGTCCGGGAGCCCTCACAGGGCTGACCGGACCACCAAGGGGCAGCTCCTGTGCTGAGCATCTGATCCCTGGTGGTCAGTGCCTGTACCGCAACTAGTTGTTTAGCTATCCGGCTAATTTGCATATTAGCCTTTTATTATATAGGATTTGTTATATAGGATTATATGTGGCAGGTCCCACTTTTCAGTTCTAATACTGTTTGTATTTCCTTACTGTTTCTGAATCAGATTGTCTGTTCTATTTTCTTAATTTCTTTTAAAGTAAATTTGTTCTTGGTTCCTTTGTTCGGTCGTTCATTCATTGATTGTTAAATTTTATTCAAAGGAAGATATTTTCCATTGATTTTTAGAGAGAATGAAAGGGACGAGGAAAGAGAGAGAGAAAGAGAAACATTGATGTGAAAGAGACACATCAATTGGTTGCCGCCCAGGGCCAAGAATCAAACCCAGGACCCTTCAGTCCATGGATAGGCCAACACTCTAACAACTGAGCAAAATTAGCTAGGGCTGTTCTTGATATAATTAAGTAAAATGTTTTTGCTGTTATATTCACTTAATTTAATGTTTGTTTTATCAATATTAATTTTTCACATTTAAAAAATTCTCAAAATGACTAATTTATTTCCCATCCTCATTTCCTAATAAATTATACAATGCTCTCTATATCAGTATGTCACCAACCCAAACATTTTGATATGCAGATTTTCATTGTGGTTCATTACCAATTGTCGTTTCAGTTTTGATTTTGATATATCCCTTCAGTAACAAGACACTCAGAAAAGTATCTTTAAATTTCCACATATTTAGGTTATTTTTTAACTACGATTTCAGTTTTGATGTATGATCAGAGACCCTGACCTCTGTGTTATAAATGTTTTGAAAATTAAGATATACTTCATACCCTAATACATGGTCAGCTTTGGTCTCCATGAATATTTCAAAATATATCATTCTTTAATATATTTCTGTCTTCTGCATTAACAATCTCTTCAGAAGATTATTGGTCTTCAGAGGATTACTACTCAACTTTGTGCCTCTCTTTCATGCTGCAAGCTTTCCTCAAATATATGGAGAGTCTTACTAATTCATTCACAGGTTTTTTCAAACCTAACAAGATGGTAGGTAACTGTATTTAGACTATAAAACGTAGTCTTATGGTGAATAGCAGGATGCGTTTAGTGTATGATTCAAGTCCAAAAGTAATCTGGAGTCCTACTATTTTGTTTCTCTCTTTGAATCAGAGTTGAAACCAGAATTCTTCAAAGACAAACTCTGCTCAACACACAAATACACACACACACACAGGCCCCACAGGCCCGTATTGCAAACGTGTTTCTTGCTAATTGTAGCCTACAATGTAAAAGCTGTATCTGCTCTGCGATTGGCCCATTTCTTGATATCTTTCAACTGTTTACTATATCAATCATCCTATAGCCCATTATAATTTATTTGAACTTGAGGGTTTTACTAAATTCCACTGGAAATAGTATAGACCTCTTATATCAATCTAAGTTCCATAATGGTAGATAGCATCTATCATTTTTATTTATCACTGTGACCTAAAACCCATCACTAGTGCCTGATTTAATGTTATCATATGATAATGAATAAATATGAATAAATGCATATTTGATTTTGCTAGCAATTAGATGCCATCTACTTTATAAACTACTAGAGGCCCAAAGCACAAAATTCATACAAGGGACTCAGTCCTTGTAGCCCCAGTTTTGTCTGGAAGGTCATTTGGGCACCTGGTCTAATTAGCATATTACCCTTTTATTATTATAGACTAGAGGCCACATGCACAAAATCTGTGCACGGTGGGGGGCTCCCTCAGCCCGGCCTGCACTCTCTCCAAACTGGGACTCTTCCAGGGGATGTCTGACTGCTGGTTCAACACATTATGCAAAGGAACTTGGCCTTGGCAGCATGGTGGAACCTAACAGCATTCAATGTCTTCAGTAATGTCTGGTAGTTTTTCTGAGTTCAAAGTCAAACCAAATAGATCAATCAACACTGCTTTTGACATCCTTCAGTAACTGTGTAAAGCTATTTAAGAAGACTTTTGTGCCCTCCCCAAAATCACCTGTAAAGGAATATTAGCATAAATAAGAATGCAAAATTAGATAACCTTATACCCTGTTTCCCCGAAAATAAGACAGTGTCTTATATTAATTTTTGCTCCCAAAGATGCACTAGGTCTTATTTTCAGGGATGTATTATTTTTCCATGAAGAAGAATACGGTACACATTTATTGTTAAATGAAAATAAAGGAAATTTATTACCTGTATACGGTATGGTAATACGGTAGTTGTCAACACAAATCAGACAAACTGAATCCTACAGTATCAAGAATTTACTCATTTATTCAATGACAATCATGTCATCATCTTCTGGAACATCATCATAATAATTCAATTCCTGAATTTCCTGGTGAATTTCTTGTGACTCCATTTCTTTCAGAATCAGTGGACCAAATCTCTCATGTTCAGCAAAAGCATTCTGAGACAGAGCCTGGGGGGGAGGGGGGGGCCTTATTTTTGGGGGATGACTTATATTTCACTCAGAAGGAAACCTGTAAGTAGGTCTTATTTTCGAAGGATGTCTCATTTTCGGGGAAACACGGTAGGTACAACAGAAATGCAGTATACGGTTGGTGGAAAACAAAAAACAAACAAAAAAAAAAAAAACAAGAATCACATCGATCTAAAAATATGACCAAAGTTGTACCTCTAAACACCTCCCAGAAAAGTCAGAAAATTATCATGAGAATCATGACAATTAAATCAAAGCTATTTCTTAATTCATTTCCCAAAAGGATATCTACATCTTTCCAGAAAGGCAACAGTTCCTGTTTTTATTTTCACATATGGAATTTTAAATAGAAATTTACCTGTTGACTTAGACAAAGTCCTGTTTTTTAACTATATGGTATCAATTTAAGTGATATATCATTAATCCTGCCATGTTAGGTCACATCCCTTCATAAGAAATACAGGGCCTTTACATTCAGTATATTAAACAGAGCTGCCATTTAAAAATCCCATTTTTAAGAGATAAAAGCCGAAATGGCCTATACATTTCTTTCAGGGTTTACACAATACTCCAGGCATGGCAATTACCACAAAGTGACTGGGATTTGTGTGAGACTTGCTTGCTGCCTGCTCCCTACTCCTTCCCGTCTGCGGATCTTCTCACCAGCCCATCCTCGCACCTAGGCGTGCAATCAGTCTTTGAGGACCCACTTCCCTGACCCCCTGTGCCCTAGGTTTCCTCTCACCACCACTCCTAACATCCACTCCCTACTGTACAGAACTCCCACTCGAGTGCATCCTGCCAGTTTTGAAAATATTAAGAGAAGTACTGGTTGACTATGAAATCCCACAAAGATGAATCTGTCACCGGCAGGTCCAAGTGGTCCCGTGCTAGGCTCCCAGACGCTACCTCCACCTGCCCAGAGCGCCTCACCACACCCCCGGCGGCGCCCCACCCTTCCTCGTCTCCTGCACTAAAACTTGGCTCCCTTCTCTGCCCACTGCCTATTGTGAGGCTTTGCCCCCAGCCACCACCATACCTCACCCCGCTCAAACCCTCCCCACCCCAAGCCCAGCCCAGCGACACCTGGAAGCCACCAGTGAGTCACCTGAAGTCTCAATCCGTCCCCACACTGCAGGGATCAGTCCATGCACCTGCCTCACCCACCTCAGGGTGGACTCCGCCATTCACAGCCTGCCTAGGGGCCCACAGTCTACGGACAGACTACCAGGCAAGGCAAGTGGTAGGGAGGCCGGGAGGAGTGGGGAGGTGGCGAGCGGCAGTTCTGAGTGAAGGCGGCCCATTGAGCCCACAACTCTGCCCCCACTGTGGGGCTGCCATCTTATGACTGTGTGATGGCAATTTGCATATTCCCTCTTTATTAGATAGGATGTAGGTAAAGTCCTCAAATTTCTAACACATTGATGAAATTCCTCTTTCTTGCCCTGACTTCTTTCTCATTTTTCTATTTTTTTTTTTTCTGTCTTGCAATGGTATTTTGAAAATGAGGGGAAGCAAGCAAATGTGCTTAGTCAGACATTTTGAAGCAGGTGTACATAAGTACCCTAGACTATGATTTCCTATGGCAGTTATCAAATTCAAAATTTAGCTCCTATTTTATATTTTCCATAGATATACCCAATCTAAAAATAACAAATACTCTATAAGTTTTACTGTGTGATATAATAGTTAGCATCATTAAGAAAAGCAAATCAAAATCTATTAAATACATCTATTTTTTCCAAAATAAATAGTCATTGCTTCATACCTGGCCAGTACTGAAGATCTGAACAAATGTTCTTCAGAGTTCTTGAATGTTGTCTGTTCAGGCAAGAGGAACGTAAAGTACTAAATACATCTATGTAACCTAGAGGGGAAATGAAAAAGTAAATGTTTTAATTACAAAACCATAAAAAATGCATATAAAACAGTTTTACCAAGTATTAGAAAAATCAAAATATGAGTTTTGCCTTTCATTTGTACATACTTTTATATATATCTAATTCAAACATAGTTCTTCACCACTTTACTGTCCATTACTTGTCAATCATGTTATCTGATATGCAAATATAACAGCCAATGAAACAAAATTCAAATTAAGTGGTAAAAGACATATATGTTTAGCTAAAGTAACTTTTTAAAAATATCTTTTTATTGATTCCAGAGAGGAAAGAACAGGGAGAAATAGAAACATCAATAATGAGAATCATTGATCAGCTGCCTCCTATACGCCCCCCACTGGGGATCGAGCCCACATGTGCATGTGCATGTGCCCTTGACAAGAATCGAACCAGGAACCTTTCAGTCTGCGGCCAAACACTATCCACTAAGCCAAACCGGCTAGGGCTAGCTAAAGTTACTTTTACTTTAGAGCATAAAAAGATAATCATTATTTCCTAGAAACAATTTAAAACCCTCTAATGAATAATGTGATAAAATCAGTTATACTTCTATCTTTCTCTCTTAAGGCTTCCATAATCATTTGGAACCAAGAATGTTTCTTCTATAGCTTTAAGTCATGAACACTTTGGGGTTCCTTCCTAACTCCTATTCTTGACTAATGGGCCCCAACCTACTTTATTTTCATGAGCCTATGAAAAAGTTATGAAGAAACAACAAAAACAGTGGTTCTCATCTGTCCTTGTATCCCAGTTAGAATTCAAGAATTCTTCTAAGAACCCTTAAAGTCGGAAAACCCTAATACCTCTGCCTGCCTAAGCCTAGAAAATGGCTGCTAGTAAGGGTACATAAGTAAAAAACCTAGAAAAGCATAATAAACAGTAAAAATATGACAATAATAATAATATTAATAATTTTAATGAATACTTAATATGGGCCCCAAGGACTTTAAATTATTTCAACTGGTCCTCTAAAGTGAAATAGAAACCAAAAACAAAACAACAAGAAAGCCCACTGCATGGGAGAACATACTTGCCAATGATATCTCAAATAAGGGTTAAATCTTCAAAATTTACAGGGAACTCATACAACTTAACAAAAGATAAACAATCCAATCAAAAAATGGGCAAAGGACCTAAATAGATACTTTTCAAAAGAAACATACAGAAGGCCAAGAGACATATGAAAACATACTTAAAGTCATTAATCATCAGAGAGATGCAAATCAAAATGACAATGAGGTACCATCTCACACCTACCAGAATGGCTATCATAAACAAATCAACAAACAACAAGTGCTGGAAAGGATGTGGAGAAAAAGGAATCCTCGTGCACTGCTGGTGGGAAGCAGACTGGTGAGCCACTATGAAGAACAGTATGGCTTTTCCTCAAAAATTTAAAAATGGAACTCCCATTCCACCCAGTAATCCCACTTCTGGGAATATATCTCAAGAAGCCAGAAACACTGATCAGAAAGGATATATTCACCTCTATGTTCATAGCAGCACAATTCACCATAGTTAAGATTTTGAAAAAGCCCACCTGCAGATGAGTGGATTAAAAAACCTATGGTACATCTGCACAATGGAATACTACGCTCCTATAAAAAAGGAATTCTTACCATTTGCAATAGCATGGATGGAACTGGAGAGCATTATGCTAAGTGAAATAAGCCAGAAAGATAAATATCACATGATATCACTCATTGTAGGATATAATAAACAATATAAACTGATGAACAAAAATAGATCCAGAATAAGTAACACTGAACAGACAGTCCAACCTCAGCGAGAAGACAGGGATGGATAAGAGTTAACCAAAGGACTTGTATGCATGTATATTAGCATAATCATTAGGCACAGATGGTGTGGTGGTGGGGGCTTGTCCTGGAGGCAAGGAGTGGCAGAGGGGGTAGTCAATCAGAGGAAAAGGAGACATATTTAATACTTTAAATTAGCAGTCACCAACAGGTGATCTATGAGATCCAAAAGGTTGTCAACCGCTGGTTGAAGGAAACCTTTGGAGCAGCGGTCACCAACCGGTGGTACGTGAACCACTGGTGATCCATGAGATCCAAAAGGTTGTTGACCACTGCTTTAAACAAACAAACAAACAAACAAATGAAAAATCCCCCAAAAATATATAAAGTGAAATAGTTATTCCTCACATTCATATGAAAAAATTAACAATTTAAAGAAATTAAATAAATACTAATCAATCAGAGGCAGGAATGAATTTTATCCTAATCTACTTCTCACTCTTTTTCTGTTGCTGTTGTTAATCCTCACCTAAGGATATGTTTTCCGATGATTTTTACAGAGTGTAAGAAAAGGAAGGAGCTGGAAGGAGACACACAGAGAAACAATGATGTGAGAGAGACACATCAATTTGTTGTCACTCATACACACCCCAACCAGGGATGTGGATCAAACCTGCAACCAGGTACACACTCTTGATAGGAATCAAATCCAAGACCCTCTAACCACTGAGAAACACAAGGCAGGACTCATTTTTTTATCACTGACATTTTTTTCAGATGTCACAAATTTCTCCCAATTTTGCCTCCACCCAACCTCTGCCCCACTCTAGGCCTTCACCACATTAGTGTTTGTATCCATGGGCAATGCACATTCTATCTATTATAATAAAAACCTAATATGCAAAATGACCATCACTCTAACACACAAGATGGCTGACACAAGATGGCCAGCACAGGAGGGCAGTTGAGAGGGATCAGGCCTGCAAGGGAGGGCAGTTGTGGGTGATCAGGCCAGCAGGGAAGGGCAGTTGGGGGCAATCAAGCCTGCAGGGGAGGGAAATTAGGGGTGACCAAGCCAGCAGAGGAGGGAAGTTGGGGGTGACCGGGCCTGAAGGGAAGGACAGTTGGAAGGGACGCAGGCCTGCAGGGAGAGCAGATGGGGGGGGCGGGGGTGGAACACCAGGCCTGCAGGGAAGGACAGTTAGGGGCAAACAGGCTGGCAGGGGAGCAGTTAGGCACCAATCAGACTGGCAGGGGAGTGGTTAGGGAGTGATGAGGCTGGCAGGCAGAAGCAGTTAGGGGCAATCAGGAAGGCAGGCAGGCGAGCAGTTAGGAGCCAGCAGTCCTAGATTGGGAGAGGGATGTCCGACTGCCTGTTTCCGGGCAATCAGAAATCCCTTGAGGGATCCCAGGTTGGAGAGGGTGCAGGCTGGGCTGAGGGACACACACACACACACACACACACACACACACACACACACATATATACACCCTGTGCACAAATTTCATGCACTGGGTCTCTAGTACGCATGTAAGTTCTTTGGTTAATCTCTTCCAGTCTCCCCAACCCTCTCCCTCTAAGACCTGTCAATCTGCTCCATGTATCCATGCCTCTAGTCCTATTTTGTTTGTCAGTTTATTCCGCTTATTGGATCATGTGCCATTTGTCTTCCTCTGACTGGCTTATTTTGCTTGGCATAAAAATCTCCAGGTCAGAGCATTATGCTAAGCAAAATAAGTCAGTCAGAAAAAAAGAAAAAAAACATGATCTCATTCATTTGTGGAATATAATGAACAACATAAACTGATGAACAAAAACAGATCCAGAGACTGAGAAGCATCGATCAAACCGTCAAACCTCAGAGGAAGGTAGGGGAGAGTGAGAGTAAGAGGGAGAGATCAACCAAAGGACTTAAATGCATCCATATAGTAAGCATAACCAATAGACACAGACATCAGGGGGGTGAGGACATGAGTAGGGAGGTGAGGGGCAATGGAGGGATAGGACACATATGCAATACATTAATCAATAGGGAAAAAAAATTTTAAGGTGTTTTTTTTGTTTGTTTGTTTGTTAATATTTTATTGATTTTTTTTTACAGAGAGGAAGAGAGAGGGATAGAGAGTTAGAAACATCAATGAGTGAGAATCATCGATCAGCTGCCTCTTGCACACTCCCTAATGGGGATGTGCCTGCAACCAAGGTACATGCTCTTGACCGGAATCGAACCTGGGATCTTTCAGTCCGCAGGCCGTCGTTCTAGCCACTAAAAAAAAACTGGTTTTGGCAGGAAAAAAAATTTTTTAAGAGCAAAATAATAGTCTGTGATTCTAAATCAATAAAAATAAAAAATAAATCTCCAGGTCCATCCATGCTGCTGTGAAGGGTAAGTGTTCTTTCTTTTTTTATAGCCAAGTCGTATTTCATGGTGTAAATGCACCCCAGCACTTTTATCCACTCATCTATTGATGGGCATTTGGGCTGTTTCTAGATCTTAGTTATTATAAATAACACTGTCATAAACATAGGAATTGCAGATTCAATTTCAACTCATGAAACATACCTAGGGTGAGGTTTTGATCTCCAGTCAGGGTGCTTGTACTGATTTAAAAAATCTGTTCTTGCCCAGCCAATATAGCTCATTGGTTGAGTATGGACCTATAAACCAGGAGGTCATGGTTCGATTCCAAGTCGGGGCACGTGTACAGGCTCGAGCCTCTAAGGAGGCATGCAAGAGGCAATCACTGATTGGTTTCTATCTCTCTCTCTCCCTTCTTCTCTCTGGAATCAATAAATATATACGTGTGTGTGTGTGTGTGTGTGTGTGTGTGTGTGTGTGTGTTTAAAAATCTGTTCTATCAATATAGAACAAGTATTTTGACAAGCTTCTAACATTCCTTGTTTAAGTATCATCCAAAAAAATTCATAAAGCTGGCATCTCTTCCAACAAAATATCCACTTATTATAATTTCAGATTGTTACAAGACTCAAGAAAATATGTGGACATTTTATAAAAAAAAGGGACCATGACAATTTCTTCAATATATTCTGAGATTAGTAGTATATTACATGGAAAGCAATACATGTAATATATTGTATTAGATCCTGGAACAGAAAATGAATCCTAGTGGAAATACTAGTGATTTGCAAAATTAAACTTATTTGTTAACAATCTAAATAATAGAAGACTGTAGTATAAAAGAATTCTGTACTACCTTTACAACTTTTCTGTAAATCTAAAATTATTCCAATATAGCCCTGGCCAGTGTGGCTCAGTTGCTTGCACATCATCCTGTGTACCAAAAAGTCACTGATTTGATTCCTGGTCAGGGCACATGCCCAGGTTGTGGGAATTGATCCCTGATGGGGTCATGCAGGAGATAGCCAATCAGTGTTTCTCTCTCTCTTACTCTCTCAAATCAATAAAAATATTTTTAAAAAATAATATAAAATAGCCCAGCTGGATCAAGCATCGAGTTTTGATTCCCGTTCAGGTCAGGGCACATGCCCAGGTTTAGGGTTTGATGTCCAGTGGGAAGCATACAGGAGGCAGTCGACCAATGATTCTCTCTCATCACTGATGTTTCTATCTCTCTCTCTACCTCTCCTTTCCTCTCCAAAATCAATGAAAATATATTAAAAAATAATAACAAGGTAAAATAATTCCAATATTAAAAGTTGGGAAGGAAAGGAAAAAGAAAGGAAAGAAGGGAAGAAGGAAGAAAAGAATAAAACAAGTAGCAAAGAATCTGGTACACAATGATTGTTATAATCATTACTATCATTATTAATAGTACTAAAATTAGTTAAAACAAAAAAAATAGTAACTTACCATATTTATTTTCAAAGAAGGACTGTGCAGAGACATGAGATGTATGCCAATGGGAAGAAATGTTTTTGCCTTTACAAATTCCAGGAAGAAGACTGTCTACCAATTGATCAATCTGTCCAATTTTTAATTCAGATAATCCAAGGTCCCTTAAGTTAAGCACAGGCTGTAAAACATTAAGTCCAAAAAGTAAGCATTAATGCTCTCAAGATTTTAATTTCTAGGATACTCATTAGTTGAAGCAATATGGGTTTTTAAAAATCTAACAAATGTACTGGTTCCCTTTTTCTTTCTAATAAATAAGTTGGTGAAAATATTTTCAAAGTTCTTGTTTTAAGGTCAATCATGTGAGGTTTGACAAGTTGAAAAAAATTATATTTTCAATGGTATAATCATTAGTATTTGGAGCTTTAAAGTACTCTCCAATCTCTAACGCCCATAAACAAAAGCCCATCTATATATACAAAAGCCTAAGCAACCAGTTGACCGAACAACCAGTCGACCCGTCACTATGATGTGCACTGACCACCAGGAGATGGACACTCAACATAAAGGGTCGGGCTCCCTCCTGTCTGCATCAGGCCTGTGGGGATTGGGCCAAAACTGGCTCTCCAACATCCCCCCAGGGGTCCCAGATTGTGAGAGGGCACAGACCAGGCCAAGGGGTCCCATCGATGCACAAATCCATGCACCAGGCCTTTAGTTTGATAAAGTGTATACTCTGCTACCACAGGGTATCTCACTCCTCTGGCCTTACTGCTGATATCCTTCTTTGAACTAACAGGTTCTGTAGTTACCCATAACTATCTTCTAATAAGGAGGAAAACTGAACAAAGTAAAAAATATGTGAAAACTATGCAATACACCTACCTAAAATAGTTCTAACGTAACAAATAGATAGGAATGAGTTGTTTTTTTGCCCATGTGAACTGACTGAGACACTAAAGACAACAATTAAAAGCTACAGACAGAACTTCAAGTAAGAGAGCAAAAATAAACAGAACAAGTATCAACTTTTTATAATATAGCTGTAGGTTTACGTCCAGGAGTTTATCACTTATTAGCTTTGTAAGAAGTCATTCATAGTCTTAGAATTCATTTTCTTGTTAATAAAATGACTATGAAATATGTCCTGCCTATTGCATGAGATAGTACAGATCAAAGGAAGAGATCATGCTATGCTCATCTACCTATCTTATCCTACATATCCTAAGATAAAGACATCATAACATAATTTTTTTTCGTTTTCACATTTACTCTTTATTATGTTGTATGTAATACAAATATGTACAATGCTAAAATACTTTTTTCCAAAATACATTTTATGTGGTACAGCCATAGCCTCTACATTATGAGTAACCTGTGCCTTTATATTTTACAATCCATTGTTGGTTACTGTGAAAAGTTTAACAGATGAAGAAAAGATGAAACAAAGCCAAATAGGATACACTTTTCTAAATATACACATATACAGTTTATAATGGACTGCAATAAAAACAAGTCAAATGGCATTTGATATAGTATCTCTAAAATGCAGACTGCAAAAATAGGCAAAGGAACATAAAATATACTTTAACTTTAAAAATAACTTAGAAAAAAGTCTTAACAATGAAGAATCTGATAAGGTGAATCTGAACGATAATATATAGAAAAGAATCTAGAAAAAAGGCTTAGGTGTTTTATGTTTATTTCTTCTTGCTCAGAAAATGAGGGTGTAAAATTCCTGTGAACTTGGGCAGCCCTTGATAGCTAGTGCCCATCTTGGCCCAGGCAGATTTCTTATGTCTACAAACAAAACATGAGCTGAATAACATCCAGGCCTGCTGAAAATGGCTTCTAACTGACTCCCTCTTTTACCCAGGACAAGTTTTTTTTTGTTATTTTTTGTTTTTGTTTTGTTTCTTTTTTGGGGGGGGGAGGGAATTGTTTTGTTTTGGGGATTTTTTTGCTTTTTGTTTTTAATAAGTCTTTATTGTTCAGTTTATTACAATTGTTCCTCTTTTTTCCCTCCATAGCTACCCTCCAACAGGTTCCTACCTCACCCTCTGCCCTTACCCTCCCCCACTATCCTCATCCATAGGTGCACGATTTTTGTTCAGGCTCTTCCCGCACTCTCCCTCCCCTTTTCCACAAGAATCGTCAGTCCACTCCCTTTCTATACCCAATTCTATTATATTCACCAGTTAATACTGTTCATCAGACTTTTTATTATCTTGGTTTTTAGATCACTTGTTGATAGTTATGTATTTGTTATTCATAATTTTTATTTTTTCTTCTTCCTCTTTTTAAAGAATACCTTTCAGCATTTCATATAATTCTGGTTTGGCAGGGATGAACTCCTTTAACTTTTTTTTATTTATGAAGCTCTTTATCTGGCCTTCAATACTGAATGATAGCTTTACTGGGTAGAGTAATCTTGGTTGTAGGTTTTTGCTATTCATCTTTGAATATTTCTTGCCATTCCTGTCTGGCCTGCATGGTTTCTGTTGAGAAATCAGCTGACAATCGTATGGGTGTTCCCTTATAGGTAACTACCTGCTTTTCTCTTGCTGCTTTTAAAATTATCTTTGTCTTCTGCTCCTGACATTTTAATTATGTGTCTTGTGTGGTCCTCTTTGGATTCCTCTTGTTTGGGGTTCTCTGCACTTCCTGGACTTGTAAGTCTATTTCTTTCACCAGGCGGGGGAAGTTTTCTGTCATTATTTCTTCAAATAGGTTTTCAGTATCTTGCTCTCTTTCTTCTTCTGGGATCCCCATAATTCTTATGTTGGTACACTTGAAGTTGTCCCAGAGACTTCTTACACTATCTTCAACTTTTTGTATTCTATTTGATTTTTGCTTTTCCAGAGTGTTTTTTGCCTCTTGCTATTCCAAATCTTTGACTTGATTCTTGCTATCCTCTCATCTGCTTTTAGATCTCTGTATAATATTTTTTTATTTCAGTCAGTGAATGCTTAATTTCTAGTTGATCCCTTTTCATATTTTTAAGGGTCTCATTTAATTTATCAGCCTTTTCTAGGCAATTATTGAAAAACCTTGTAACTTCGGGGAGGGGAGGGAAATCTAGGTGAGATAAGAGATCAACCGAAGGACTTGTATGCATGAATATAAGTACAACCAATGGACACAAAACTCTGGGGAGGGAAGGCATGTGTGGGAGTGAGGGCGGGGGGGGGGGGGGGGGACACACAATGGTAAGATATGTACACAGATAATTTAATTTAAAAAAAATTTTTTAAAAAGAAAAACCTTATAACTGTGGTTTTGAACTCTATATCCAGTCTCTTGCTTTCCTCCAATTCCTTCCATTGAGGCCTGCCTCTTTGTCTCCGCATTTTAGCTGCTTCCCTGAGTACATGGAGTGGCTTTGCGTACTAGGTTTCCTAGCTGGGCCCAGTAGCTCAGCCTCCCAGTTACCTGTGGTGGATCCTCTTGGTGCAGCCCTTTGTGTATGAGCAGTCTTGTTGTAGTTAAGCGTTGCTTGTTGTTATTATCACTGGGGAGAGTTGATCTTCAAGCCAAATGGCTCTGATGATCAGCAGTGTCTAGCTATGCAAGGTTTCTGTGCTCACCTTGGATGGGGTGGAGTCTCAGGGTGGTGTAGACAAGCTTTGGTTTCCCATCAGCCCCGCCCTAAGAGGGTCCTGTTCTCCAAGTCCCACAGCAATGGCTGCTGGCCACGTACACCTCTGAGAGAAAGCTGCTCTCGAGTTTCGCCCGCTGCCTGACAGTCAGTTTCTTCCCAACCGGAGCTGGCTATCAGTGCAGTTGGGAGGTTTTGTTTTTCTCCCGAACAAGAAAGCTAGCCACTGGGAGGCTTCTGTGCTCAGCTAGGATAAGGCGAAGTCTCACGATGGCACAGACAAGCTTTGGTTTCCCATCAGCCCCGCCCAAAGAGGACCCTGTTCTCCGAGTCCTGCAGCAATGGCTGCTGGCCGCATGTACCTCTGAGAGAAGGTTGCTCTCAAGTTTCACTTGCTTCCTGACAGTCCAATTTCTCCCTCTCTGGAGCTGGATATCAGTGCAATAGGGAGGTTTTGTTTTTCTCCCCAACGAGAAAGCTAGCTGCGCATTAGCTGCCCACCCTCTCCATGCAAGCACCTCGAGTAAGCCAGCAACATATTCAGCCACTCGCCCTTTCCGCACTCACGGATCTCCGCACCTCCACAGCTCCTGAGGCTCAGCATCTTTTTCTCTTTTTTCCTAGTTGGTAGAGCTTCCACTTAGCCAGCTTTCTGGTGTTTCTGAACTATGTTCGCTCTGTTTTCCAGTTGTAATTTTAAAACTGTTGTGGTAGGCTACATTTAGGTGTTTACTTTATGCCGCCATCTTGGTTTCTGTTTTGTTTTGTTTTGAAAATTGTTTCTACAAAGAGGGCGTAAGAGGTTTAAAAGACACACACACACACACACACACACACACACACACACTCACACACACACACCTTTGTAAGAACATTATTTTAGAACCACCACAAATTGAGCCGGTGATGCTATTCTCTTTCACTGTGGTTCTTTGTTTTGTGTTATATGTTCTGTGGTTGTTGGTTTTTTGTTATGTGTGGTGTGCGTGTGGGGAGGGGGGAGGCTATGTAACTTTTACCTCAAAGGAATTGCTGAAAAAATAATTACTTATTTTTATCCCTAGCATTTAGCACGTTATCCAGAAATAAGGGCCCAAGATCAAGCTTCATGGAGAGGCAGAAACCTGCCAGATCAGAGAGGGACTCCTCTGTTTAGTCTTTTCCTTGCCAAGCTTGCACAAGGGTGGAATGGTCAAACGTGTCCTTGGCAGGGGTACTGTCCTAAAAGGTAGAAGAATCTCTCTCCCTACCCTAGGCTGTACTGCCATACGGACCCACTGGAGCCACACGAGACATCTCCCTGGTGGACTGTCCCATTCTTCAACAGACTGCTTTTCTCCTGAGCCTTTGCCTCCATGACAGTCTCACAGGTAAGCCTGGGCAGCTTTGTTGGCTCAAAGGTCTCCTGCTTGGAATTAAATGTCACCAGTGACAATAAGGACAACATGAGTGCTTGTGACCCACCAAGGTTAGGAGGAGATAGCATTTTTTACCATGGGGGAGGGCAATTCCTGTTTTGTTGTCCCAGAAGGACTCATAATGCCCAGGGAACTCACTTTACTGTGCTTCCTCTGGGTTTCCAG